GCTCTGCACACACAATGTACCTGAATGTCAACCTCACCCCGCCCCCCTCAGCAGCGGGGGAGGGGTCCTGTACCACGCCCAAGACACCGGAAATCTTAAACTCCCTTATCAACCTGACCAGTCCGCCCCTTCCGCACTCCTACGCCCACTACCAGACACAGGTGGGTTGGGGTGGTTAGGGTGGGTTGGTGGGTTAGGTGGTTAGGGTGGTTAGGTGGTTGGGGTGGGTTGGGTTGGGGGATGGGTTGGTGGGTTAGGGGGGTGGGTTAGGGTGGGGTGGGTGGGTTGGGGGGATGGGTTGGTGGTGGGTGGTGGGTTGGGTGGGGTGGTGGGTGGGTTGGGGGTGGGTGGGTGGGTGGGTTGGGGGGTGGGTGGGTGGGTGGGTTGGGTGGGTTGGGTTGGGGGGGTGGGGGATGGGGGGGGGTTGGTAAGGTGGGTGGGGATTGTTGTGGTGTGTGGGTGTGTGTGTGTGTGTGTTGTGTGTGTGTGTGTGTGTGTGTGTTGTGTGTGTGTGTGTGTGTTAGCTCTTTGTTAGCGAGAATTATCGTTTCATTTGAATATCTTTCTAAACCATTCTAGTTTTATTAGCTTCCATCTTAATCAGTAATCAGAGTTTTCTAACAATAGCTTATATGTGTGTGTGTGTGTGTGTGCGTGTGTGTGTGTGTATGTCTGTGTGTGTATCTGTCTGTCTATCTGCCTGTGTGCGTGCCTACATGAGCGTGTGTGCGTCCGTGCGTGCGTGAATATTCCGACGAGCCTCCTGCAGCGCCTTCTGACGACCCCCGCACTGACCCCGCCCTCTTCCCCCCGGCACAGGTGGAGGGCGGATCCCTGGTGAGCCCCGTGAGCGAGCTAGGCAGTCCCCTGGAGGATGGAGGAGGAGCAGTCACCACCCTCAGCCCTCAGGAAGGTCCAATAGGCAGAGGCAGGAATGAGCACAGCACGCCCCGCCACCTATCCCACGGTGGCGCAGGAGGAGGAGGAGGATCAGGAGAAGGAGGATCAGGAGGATCAGGAGCAGGAGGTCCCTATCCCGGCGGTGGCGGTGTTGGAGGAGGAGGAGGAGGAGGCGGAGGAGGAGGTGGAGGAGGTGGTCTGGTGGGCGGGTCCCCTGGCACCTCGGGCATGGGAGGTCCCCTGGCTGGGTCCTCCCCGCCCTCCACCCCGGACCTCCCCTCCCCCGTCAGCACAGTGGAGGCCACCAAGTCAGCGCTCATCAAGGAGGGACTCAAGTTGCAGATCCGCACCAAGCTCCAGGCGGCGGGAGTCGACAGCCCCGAGAACTTCCTCGAGGACAGCAAGGGCATCAAGAGCGAGACGGATGACGTGAGTGAATATTTTTGCCTTTTTTTTTTTTTTTTTTTATTATTACCTCTTTTTGACGTGAGTGGATTTTTTCTTTCTTTCTTTCTTTCTTTTTTTTTTTTTTTTTTTTGACGTGAATGATTTTTTTTTCTTTCGTCTCTTTTTTTTTTTTTATTACCTCTCTTTTGACGTGACTTTTTTTTCTTTCGTCTCTCTTTTTTCATTTTTTATTACCTCTCTTTTGACGTGACTTTTTTTTTTCTTTCGTTTTTTTTTTTATTACCTCTCTTTTTGACGTAAGTGATTTTTTTTCTTTCGTCTCTTTTTTTCATTTTTTTTATTACCTCTCTTTTTGACGTGACTTTTTCTTTCACTTTTTTTCCTTTTTCTTTCGATTTTTTTTCTCTCTTTTTCTTTTTCTTTCTTCCTTTCTGCTTTCTTTTTCTCTTGTCTCTGTGTACCCTTTTTCTATTTCTCTTTCCGTCTTTCTCTTTCTTTCTCTCTTTTTGTCTCTGTCTTTTTTTAGCTTTGTCTTACTCTTAAGGCAGGATTTTTTTGGTTTTTGTTATATTTTTTTTTTCAGATTTTTTGGGGATGGTTATTCTTTAGTTTATTTTTTTTTTTTTTTTCTTTTTTTTTTTTTGATGGTGAGTTCTCTGGTCTCTTAAATTTCATCTAAAAGTAAAAAAGTTCATTTACACTTTGTGATATTTATGCCATAAGTGAAATCATATTTTAAAATATATTTTTTTTATTATTCTTTATTTCCCCCATCGATTTTTTTTATCATTATTTCCCATAAATACAAACCTCCCACACCCCATTCCCTCCACCATGCATCCCCTCCTCCCTTCTTTATCCAATCTCTCTTATCTCCCCCTTCGCATCAATTCTCCTCTCTCTCTCGAATTAATTCCTCGTTCTCGCCGTTCTCCTTCCAGCTGACGGAGGAAGACGAGGAGAGACGGCGAAGGAGGCGAGAGAGGAACAAGATCGCTGCCACCAAGTGTCGTAATAAGAAGAAGGAGAAGACCATCGTGCTCATGACAGTGAGTTTTATGTTTTTCTGTTTTTTTTTTCTGGTTATCTGTTGTGTTTTTTTATTGTTTGTTTGTTTTTTTGTTTTTTTCTGTTTATATGTTTTGTGTTTTTTTTCTGTTTTTGTTTTTTTGTTTTTTTCTATTTATATGTTTCGTGTTTTTTTATATGTTTTTGTTTCCTGTTTTATGCTTTCCTGTTTTTTTTCTGTTTATGTTTTTTTGTTTTTTTCTGTTATGTTTTTTTTGTGTTTTTGTTTCTTTGTTTTTAGTATATATGTATACCCATGCGTACTCACAGAAGTGGGTGCACACAGATCGTACACCATACGCACTTGAGCAAGCACACACACACACACACACACACACACATGACACACACACACACACACACACACACACACACACACACACACACACACACACACACACACACACACACACACACACACACACACACACACACACACACACACACACACACACACACACACACACACACACACACACACACACACACACACACACGTACACACACACACACCGAGGCCCTCCGACAGCTACTAACCCCCCCCCTCCCCCTCTTCCCCCCCAGGAATCGGAGTCGGTGGAGGACATGAACGTGCGCCTCAAGACGGAGATCCAGCGCCTCACGTCCGAGAAGATGAAGCTGGAGAAGATCCTTCGGGACCCCAACCACCGGGCGTCGTGCCGGCACCCGCCCCGTGGTCCCAAGGGCGCCGCCGCCGCCTCGGCCGCGCGCGCGCACCAGCAGCCTCCGAAGCCTCCTCTGGTCATCGTCACGCCAGCGGAATCCCCCGACGCGGGCCTCGTCTCCCCCTGCTCCTCGACCTCCTCTTCGTCTTCCTCTTCTACCTCCTCCTCCTCTTCGTGTTCGTCGGAGAGCCCCACGTCCCCGCCCCTGTGCAGTCCGCCCTCAGCCCTCTACAAGACGCCCTCCGTCCCCTGCTCCTCGCCCCCCGGGATGCCTGGGTGTCCCTCCTCCTCGTCCCCCTCCACCCCCACGTCCCCGCCTTCCTCCTCTTCCTCCTCCTCGTCTTCCGCGCAGTTCCTAGCGCCCAAATACAGCGCGTCGGCCGCCCAGGCGCAGCGCCACCACCCGTACCAGTTTCCGCACGCGCGCCCGTCCTTGCCGCACCCCGCGTCCGCGCCGACGTCCGAAGGCAAGCACTTCCCGTGCCCGCCGTCCCCGTCGCCGTCGCCGTCGCCGTCCCCCTCCTCGTGCGCGGGCAAGGCGCCGGCCTACGGCTACCAGTGCCTGGGCCCCGCCACGCGCCCGCACGAGTTCACGCCCCCTAACGCCCTCCCGCCCCTCAAGCCCCTGTACACCAGCCCCAAGTCCCGCAGCGGCGCGGGGCTGGTGCGCTACAGCCCCTACGGCGGCCGCCACCCGCCCGTCCCGTCCCCGCTGGCCACCCACGCCCACCCGCAGCCCGGAAACCTGGCATGTGGCGACGCCTACGGCCAGCCCGCCCCCCAGAATAACAACAACGGCAACGCCAACAACAACAATAATAATAACAGCGGCTGCGGGCGAGAGGACCAGGCCTACGTAACAGACATGCACACCAACCAGTTCTTCCCTCCGTGTACGTACAGCAGCATGTGACCCGCGCTGGGAGGCTGGTAGGAAACACCTCCCGGAAGCCAGCTGGAAATCTTGTTTTTTAAATAGGCCTAGCTATTTTTTAGGGAAAAAAATAAAAGAAGATATATATTTACGAGCGTATGCGCGGGTCTTAATATTTAAAACCCTCTATTTTTTCACGGGGGGATCTTTATTCGGTGGTCTTTCAACGTGGTCTGTCAGACCTCTCGTCCGAGATAGAGAAAGAGCTGTCACGGCCTAGGACCGCTGCTTTCAATTGTTTCTCTCTTTCTCCTTTTGATAAGAATCTGCTAAAGATAAGGTTGCTTTCGTCGCGGCTGCCAGGCCGTCGGCCCCACAACACTAAGTTGAGCTTGCATTGTAATTTTTTGCTGATGGTCTACATTATTTTCGTTGCATGTTTGTTATATCTCACATACAGGACCTCGTGTTTCTTTTCTTCTTGGTATAAGAGATTTTTTTTCTTCTTCATCCAGTGAAATGAAAAAAAAGCGTTTTCACGAACCCAAACTAGGCAGGCTTCGTCCCGCCGTCTCCACCACACGCGTTCACATCACTGTATGCCCTTGTTCCTCTCAGATCCCCGTGTTATATATTGAGTGCCGGGTGTTTTTTTAATGAATATATATATAACATGTAGTGTGCGTGTTCTTTTTTGCGTTTCCGCGAGAAAAGGGGAAAAAAACTCCAGGACTTGCTCATTAGAAGGGCTTCTTGAAGTTTCTAGACTGCATATAGGAAGTGTAGAATACTTCCTTCCATTTCCCTCCTTTTATCCCCGTCTATATATTATTTTTCCCTTTGAAACTCTGAAAGGTGTTTGTAATACTTGATCCATACATATATATTTTTATTAGCTTTTATTTTCGCGTAAAGAGAAAAAAGAAGGATTTTTTATTTTTTGATGGATTATTTAGGCAAAAACTTCAGGGGCTTGGGGGCGAGGGGGGGGGGGGCCCTCCCCCCTGCCCCCCTGCCCCGCCTGCACACAGGTTTCCTAGGGTTCCTGTAGAGACGAGGGGCGT